GGGGAGACCCCAGGGGGGTGAGTCCCTTCCCCCTCCCCCCCAAAAAAGGGTTTCTGGCAAGGTGGTGGGGTTAAAAGGGGCAGCTGCCTCCAAAGAAGCTAGGTGGGGGCTGACCCCCTCAAGACCTCCCCAAGCAACTCCCGGGCCTTATTATGGGGTCTGTCGGGAGCCAAGTAACGGGGGGGGGGGGGTTCCTGTGTCCCAGCTGGCCCACTGACCTCTCCAGGGGAGACGCCTCTCCCCCCACCCCAGACCAAAAGGATTTTGGAAAACAGACGGGATGGAGGGCGCCAGTGCATAGTTAAATCCGCTTTTATTCCTTCTCCATCAAGGCCAACCAAGCAGGTCTGGCCTTTTGCATCGGGCCTCCTGCTCAAACGGGGTTGGACTAGAAGACCTCCAAGGTCCCTTCCGGCTCTCTTGTCTACAGAGATTCTCCAGGTCTCCCGGTCGTCCCAAAGGGGCTTTTCCCACAAGGCAACTTTTGGACTTTCTTGGCACTTTTTTTTCCCTCCCCTTGACAACATTTCACTTCTCAGCCAAGAAGCTTCCTCAGTTCGCGAATAAGCTTCTTCCTGAACCGAGGAAGCTTCTTGGCTGAGAAGCGAAATGTTGTCAAGGGGAGGGGAAAAAAAGTGCCAAGAAAGTCCAAACGTTGGGAAAAGCCCCTTTGGGACGGGAGTCTCTCTTCTTTCTGTCATTCCCATTTCAGTCGCAGGGCCCTTCTGCCCAAAAAATTTTTTTGGGGGGGGCTTTGCTCCTCCTTTACGCTGCCCCCCCTCCCTCCTCCAAGTCTCTGCCAGGCACGGAGAGCTTCTGACGTCGTGGCGAGCTTTCCTCTTCCTTCTGCAGCTTCCTCCTCCTCTTCCTCCTCCCCCTCTTCCTCTTCCTCAACCCGGACGAGCCGGCGGTGGGGTGGCCCTTTGGCGGGACCGTCTGCATGCTCTCAGGCAGACCAGCAGCAGCAGCAGCAGCAGCATCCAGCTGGCTCCCCCCTCGGCCAGGCTCGTCACTCAAGATGGCATTGAAAGAGTCCCCCTGTCCCATGGGGGGGGCCTGGGCACCCCCCTTCCCCAGTCCCTGCACAGCCGGCTGCTTGCGGGGGGATCCCTCCCCAGTGGGGGGCTGCTGGTGGGCGAGGGGGGTGCGCGCCTTGTCCCGGGGGCCTTTTTTCTTCCTTTGCTTCTTCGCCCCCTTCCCCTTCTGGCCTCGGCCTCCCGCCTTCCCTTGGCCCTTCCGGAGCCTTGGGGGCAAGGGGCTCGCCCTGGCCTGGCTGGGCTGCCAGGTGGGAGGAGGGGGAGAGGTCCCCCAGGGTCGGAAGGGGGTCTGGGGGGGCAGAGTGGTGGTGGTGGTGGAAGAGGCCGGTTGGGGCCGGCGGGTGGCGAGGACGTCGATGCGCTCTCCTCCGTAGTCAAACATCACCGGCTCCTTCAGAACCGCCACGGCCGTCCGGCTGTAGTTCCTGCACCTAGGAAGGAAACAGCCGGGTAGCGGTGGGGTCCTTTGCAAAGGGGGGGGG